ATAAATAACGGACCTGCAGTTGAGATGAATTGAAATCAATTCATCTTGGTTTTTCCTCCTTCAGCTTCTGAAGATTTCTGACGTCTCGTTTGCATTTGAAGTTTAAAAAACTTCAAGAAAGTCAAAACAATTCAAATGAGTTTGATTTATGTAAATCAGTTTGTTTTCCAAACAACTCATTTGCCTCGAGCTGTTTTCAGACTCAGCAGAGCAGAAACGATTTGTTTCATAAAAACCTGATTAAATCAAACCAAACGACCCTCCTGTTGGTAACAGAGCTGCTGTGGTCACACTCAGGAACCACAAAGATTCTTCACAAAAATAAAACCACCTCGAGGACCCAGAGGACAGGATGAGACAACGTGAGACACCTGAGCAGGGACAGGTGTGCAGGGAGGGGCTACAGATTAAAGCTCCTTAATGTTAATTAGTCCAAACATAAAGACATTACAGGTATTTGTTCCTAACATGTTTAATTAACAGTAAACGTTTGAAAACTTAAAGTAAATTTGTGAGAATAATCAGACAGGAAGTGCAGCAGGTGGGATTATAATCTCATAATCTCCAATAATTACAAATAAAACGAGACAACGGAGGCAGACTGTTGAGCAGATTTACTTATTTATTTATCTTATTTATTTATTTAAATCTGAACGTCTTCCAGCAGAGACGCCATCGAGGCTTGATGTCCTGCAGGAAGTGACATCACAGCAGGAAGTGATGTCATCGGTCAGGTTGGTCAGAGTCACAGATGTTTGGCGCAGATGAAATTAAGGGTTGTGGTGCATCTTTCATCATTTATATAATCTCCTCCTGGAAAAATAACAAACAAAAACATTTTCTGATGTTTTTATCAATAAAATCTAAAATCAACTAAAAGTGTTGATTTTAATTCAATAAAATGAGTTTAACAGAAACTTTGATTTAAAAATCTCAACTTTAATTCAGCGTTTGATTCTGACAGTGATTTGTTATAATCTGCTGTTTGTTTGTTTGTTTGTTTGTTTTGGTGCTCATACCGTTTCTGTTGATCTCCATGCAGTCCTCCCGTCCTCCGGCGTTGTTGGGTTCTCCTGCGCCCCAGCTCACAGAGCTGAACCTGGACCCGTCGGACCAGAGCCAGTTCCCGTCCTGAGGGGAGACAGAACCGGCTGAAAGTCTCACCTGAACAGGATCCTGGATTTGACCTCAAAATAAACTGAACTTTAATAAACAAAGAAGTGAAAAATAAACAAATAAAGCCTGACTTTGACTGCATCGCTGGCGCCGACCCAGGTCCTGGGGTTGGACCCTGTGGCCCTGTAGACCACCGTCCTCAGGAAGTCGTACTCAGCCCGGCTGTGGAAGGAGGCCAGGTTCCCTCCGTACGCAATGCAGGCTCTCTGAGAATAACAAACATCCAAAAGTCAACAAACAAACAAACAAACAAACAAACAAACAAACAAACAAACAAACAAACAAACAAACAACTAATCAAACAAACAAACAACTAAATAAACAAACAACTAAACAAACAAACAACTAAACAAACAAACAAACAACTAAACAAACAAACAAACAAACAACTAAACAAACAAACAAACAACTAAACAAACAAACAAACAACTAATCAAACAAACAAACAAACAACTAAATAAACAAACAACTAAACAAACAAACAAACAAACAAACAACTAAACAAACAAACAACTAAACAAACAAACAAACAAACAAACAACTAAACAAACAAACAAACAAACAACTAAACAAACAAACAACTAAACAAACAAACAACTAAAGAAACAAACAAAAAC